AAAAAAAAAAAAAAAAATTTTTCTAGGCAATTATATTATCTACAATTTATGATATATTTCTATTATTTTTAACCCTTGCTTTTAGACTTGACTGTATTGATTTCAATTCTTTTATTTTTCAATGTGTATATCATGTGTGAATTGCACTGGCTAGTACCTCAAGACTATTATTAAAAAATAAGTAACAGTTAAAAAGTAATTAAGTCATCCTTTCATATTCTTGAATTTCATGAAAATGTTTCAAGTGGTTTTACTACTAATGATGATGACAAAATTTAATTTGAGAGTTTTTCTTTTTACTGAATTAAAAAAATAGATTTTATTTTATTTTTTTGTCCCTTGAAGTAAGAGAAAACATATTTTATTTCTATTCTTACCAGAGTTTTAAAAATCAGGCATTCACCGAAATAATTACATGGTTTTTCATCTTTGTCCTATTCATATAAATAGATTTCCTAATATGCTACTATTCTGACATTTCAGACTATGACATATTTCTCATATAACATATTTAATTTTTTGAATATATTTATGGATCCTATCTGCATGTGTTTTGTTTGAGATTTTTGCATCACTATTCATAAATATGAAGTATGGAAACTGGCCTAGGTTTTCCTTTTGGTATACTTGAGGTTTTAAAAGTCAGCATTATTTAGCTTTCACACAAATAATTTCTAGACTTTCTACCTTTTTTCATACACTAGAATATTTTGAGTAGAATTAAAACTATTTTCTTCCTTGAGAATTTGAAAAAAAATCTGCCTTGGAGATGTGAGAGATAACATTAGCTACTACTTATCTATTTGATTGTTTTAATTTTTTAAAAAAATCAGCTTTGGAATTTTATATCAGTTTTACTATTTATTTTCTAACTCATTAATACATGTCTTTATTTCTGCAGATCATATGGGGCAGAAAAAATAAATAGTTGTGTTTTTATTACTTCCTCTGGTTTTCTTAAGATTATTTTGTTGTTATATCTCTAATTTCTTGAGTTAAATAGTTAATTTATTTACGTTATTTCTATTTAATAATAAAAATATTTAAGTATATGAATTTTCCTTTTACTGTAGATTTGGCTGTACCCCACATTCAGTATTCTCAATATTGTTATTTTCCAGTCCCCCTCGCCATCACAAGTTTTTTCTCTACCTCTAGTTTTCTAGATCTCAGGTGGATAGAATTAGTCAAATTGTAATCTTTGATTTACAGCACAATATCATCTTTGGTCCATAGCTGATCCTCTTTAGTAAGTTAATTGAACACCCATGAACCTACCACCAAACTCTTTTCTGCTTGACCCAACGTTCATTTAAGAATGACTTTTACGTTTTAGATGTTTCTTTTTAAACCTTCTATTTTTGCTATTTTTCCAGTTTCCTTATCTGTAAAATAGGCTTAATAATGGTACCTATCTCATAGGGTTAATGTGAGAAATAATGTTTGTAAAATGCTTAAAATAGAATCTGGCACATAGTGAGTACTATTTAAGTGTTAACTATTATTTTTATTATTTTATTATAATTGTGTTAGGATATATATATATTATATATATATATAAAAATAATTGTCTTGTTCCTTCTACTTGAACGTCAAGAATTAACAGAAGTGTGGTAAAATTTCTCAGTACTTTTGTCACTTTTTTGTTTTTTTCTCAATAGGTTTTGTTCTATATATTTAAGTGCTATGCAATCCCAAGCAAGTATACTTATAATAGTTATGTTTTTATTATAGGTTAGACCCTCTGTGTCTTATTTCAAGCTTTTAACCTTAAGTTAAACAAACCAACGAAAGCACCATGATTCTGTTGTCATTGTTTGCATTTGTCTGATCTATTTATTTTTATTTACTTTTAATATTTCTGAGTCATAATGTTTTAGGTGTCATTTGAGAGCACATAGCTGAAGTTTTTCTTTAACCCACTCAGAGTCCTTTTCTTTTAAAAGATAAATTTTTATCCAGTTACATTTATTATTAAAACATATGTTTGATCTTGTCTCTGCCACATTATTTTTTGCTCTCTTATTGCTTACTTTTTCTTACATGTTTTGCTGCAAGATCTCTATTTTCTTTAAACATTTTTTTCCCCTTAGCAATTTGGAAGGGATATAGTTTGCTTTCTGTTAAACAAGTTTATAACTTTAAATAACACACTTAGACTTCTTTTTCTCAATATATCATTGGCATGGTTTTTTTTGTTTTTTTTTTTTTAACAACAGTGCTTGGCTGTCTACCCTGATTAGATTCACCAGATGCTTGCCAAAACTCCTCCTCACTTATGCCAGGCTGAGCTTTTCCTTCACAGCCCAGACTAAATGGCTCTGGCTGCCCTTGTTTGTGGCTGTTTAAAAACAAAACTCGTTAACATATTGTCAAATCATCCTTCTCTGAAGCCGGCAGAGATTCAGCTCTAGCTGCCAATGGTAAAACAGCAGGTGGGCTGTAAGTCATGGCTCCAGGCCCACTCTAGCACAGGGGAAGGGCAGAAGGGGGTAAGGTCAGAGGCCTAGAGGTTTAGAAGTGACAGTCACAGTGCCTCCCCATGGCCTCACCCAATGGGAGGGACAGTACAGAATGCAGACATGTAGCCTTGGATCAAAGTGTCCTTTCTCCCACTCTGTCCAAAACATTCCCTGTTAGTTGTTCACTTGGGGTTTTCACCTCCCCCAACAATATAGGTGTTTGCTCCCTAAAGGCCAGGAAAGTTTACATGTCTTCTGCCTTTTCAGTTACCCCTTCCCCTGTTTATCAGCATCTTCCAGAACCCTTTTCCAGGGCTGTCCCATATCTTTCTAGAAGGGCTCTGAGAGATCAGAGCAGGCTGCTTGGGAGCCAGATGGGGCAGCCCTGGAGGGCCTCAACACCTCTCTGTCCCTCACAGTCTAGCTCCATCTGCTTCCTCCAGGGAGTCGTCCCTGATTGCTCCAGCTCCCACTGAACTCCCATTGCCCTAAATCCTCCTTTCTGTTCTGGCTCAATTCTCTCTTGTGCTGATCTTTGACTATCTCAAACCTGCTGAATCCGGTTTCCCCAACTAGACTGGAAGCTCCTGAGGACAGAGCTGGGGTCTCCTCCTCCTGTTTCTCCTTTATGGCTAGATACACAGGCCTAGCTACAAGGAGGACTTAGAAAAGACTTGCCAAGTGAGTGGAAGGTCAAGACAAAAGACACTGGAGTCTGACTGTCTGGGTTCAAATGCCAGATCTGCCATTCCCTAGCGGTGGAACCTTAGGCAAGTTGCTCAGTGTTTCCAAAAAGGGCTGTGGTGGGGGTTAAGTGTAATGATGTGAGAACTACAGGGCACAGACTCTCGCTGGTAGAAGACACAGATTGGGTGGAGCTGCCACTGCACCATCAGCCAGCCTCGTCAGCTACATCGTGGGGGCCTGACAGAACACCAGATGCTACGTGCAGGTGGTGTCACCAGAGCTCCCGTGTGGGAGGCTGGTGATCTGGGGCAAGTCATTTCCCTTCTGTGGAACAAAGAGGGGCTGGACGACAGCGCCTGTGAGCCCTTCCTGCTCTGGTCTCCATCGCACTGCGGGTGCTGGCAGTTTGTGAGCTGCTTCCTGCTCTGGGGGGCTGGGGAGCACCTATTCAGCAGAGGCTCTGTCCCAGTTTCAGCAGGCTCTGGCCTGGCTTTCTGGCTGGAGACCTCCTTTCCCTGCCCTCCCCTCCACCTCCAGCTATCCCTGCCCCAACCCTGCATCCCCAGGAGGGTACCAGCGCTCCACTGCTGAGCAGGATCATGAAGATGATGAATGTCTCAAACCAGCTGTGCTCCACGATGCGGTAGCAGGTCTTGCGCAGCCGCCACCAGACCTTCCCTGGGGCCTGTGTGGTGTCCACCGCGCAGCAGGGACAGCGCCGGACACAGCCTATGGGAGAAGGTGAGGGTCAGGCCAAGCTCAGGCTCTATGAATGCTCACATCTAATGGCAGAAGGTTGGATGGTAGAGCAAATGACTGAAAGAGGATTCAGTGATGAGGCAGTGAACGGGGCATCATGACAGGTGAAGCCATGGTGGGGGAGGACTGTGGGCACTCCCCATGGGGGCCACACCCTCAGCAGGTACTCCATGGAGGGGCTGGGTGGACTGAACACCCAGTGAGTGGATAAACAGCCTGGTAGGTCTGGGCAAGGGCAAGGCTGGGGTGGAGATGGGTTCCAGCTTGTCCTCTACTCATCTGGGAAACCCTCCCCCTGGGGAAGTGTCAGGAACTCCTGGGGCGCTCTGTCCCTGGGTCTTCTCCATGCTTCTAGTTTCTGAGCCTTGGGAAGGGTGGACCCCTCAGTGAGAACCCTCACTGACGTGACCCATGGAGGGCAGGCCCTGATTTTATCCCCAGCTATCCTCCCAAGATACCACCAGTTTATAAAAGCTATAGGTGCCAATCATCAATATGGTCACACGTCACACTTGCCTCAATTATTTACAGAGGGCCTACTGTATGTCAGGCACTGGCCAGGGTCTGGTGGTAAAGGGATGGATTAAACCCGGTCCTGCTGCTGTGAAGCATACAGTGGTGCAACCACACCACAAATGCAGCCCAGCCCAGCACCTGTGGGCCAACTCACTAGGCAGCTGGAAGAAACCCAGGGTCTCAGAAGAATGGAGAAGGCAAGCAGATATCCAGGTCAGAGTGAGAATGCCACATGAGCCTGGACCCAAGGAGCTGCTGGTCCTTCTAGTACCTCTGGGTGGGACTGAGCCTGGGGCAAAAGGCTGCCCAGACCAATACCTTCAGTGAAGCAGTCCTCTGGGTCCTTGACGTCCTCGCCGAGATCAGGGATCTGTTCCAGGAGGTCGGCAGTGTTGGTCATGTCGGCTGTGCTGCCCTCGGAGTAACTGTCCTCATGGATCTGCTGGCAGGGGCGCGGGGGGGTGGGCAAGGGTGTTGTGTGGGTCGAGTAGCAGCCTTCAGCCTTGAACTCAGAGTCCAGGGGAGCTTGGGGCTTCTTGAAGGGAGGTGGCCAGACTGTTCTCCATTGCATACCCTGGGGTCTACGGTCAGAGTGGTGGTGGAGCCACCTTGGACCAGTCAGGACTGAGCTCAGGCTAGACCTCGGAGCTCTTAGGTCTGTGATTCTGGTCTGCCAGAGTCTAGGGCTGGTGTGTGGGGGCTGTGAAGGGGCTCTGGGAAAACACTGGGGATAGAGAATGCTGGGAACAAACCAGACACGGGGCGGCGACATGGACACACATAGGGACATGGACACGTAATGGTAGCTTGGCACACACAGCGGGAACAGGCATGCCACATCCAGAACAGAGTCAGAAGCAGATCACAGGCACACAGAGGTGGCAAGGTCAGACATGCAGAGCACGGGCCAGCAACCCAGCCTACATCTTGTGCCCAATTCCTGTGGGTGCTGGTGTGCTGGGCAGAGCTAAGTGAAGACTGAGTAGGTGCTAGAACCTTCCCTTCCTGGCCATGCAGGAGTCTGCTCCCTGACCTCCATAGTCTGGCTATAAGAAGATGAGAGAGGTGTATGCATGCAGGTGTGCCCTTGTGAGTGTCTGTGTGTCACTTGTGGATATGGATATATAAGGGTGCTATAGTGGCCACTGTGGGTGCTCTGTCCAGTTCTACTCTTTGAGACTGGTGTGCCCATTCCCAGTGGCTGTGAACACTGGCTGCTTAGCTGGCCCTTCCTCTAGAAAATTGTCTTCAGCCAGGAATACAAAAGGCCAGCTCCTGGTCTTCAGCTGGGACAATGCTGTGGTGTAATTCCTGTTCCAGAGCTCCCCATGAGTCCAGGCAGAGGCAGAGGCAGACTCCAGCTGAGACGCCTTCCCATAGCTTCTTCCTCTGCCTCCTCCTGCTTCTCCCACTTCCTTCCTGGTTTCTTCTGAGCTCACTCCCTCCACAAGTCATTTGCACAAGAACCCCCACCTCGGGCTCTGCTTCTAGAGAACACAACCAGGGAAAGGGTGTCTGTGAAGGAAGGAAACCCTTCACTTGCTCCAGGTCAGGTCCAATGCCCACCACAGCTGGCCCTGCCACATGTCAGCTCAGGCCCAGCTCACTCGGAGAAGGGCTTGTTAGAGTCCTTGGGCCTGCTGTGCTGCTACGGCTGCCTTCCTTTCTCCTCCTGTGGTGAATCACTCTGCTGATGGCTCGATGTTCTCTTTTCAATTTTTGAGGTCTGCAGCGGGGAAGGGCTGGATTTTGAGGGGAGAGCAGGGGCACTCTCCTTGCTGCCCAGTGGATCTGTGACCAGAGGGGCGAGGCTCTGCTTTCAGCGGTCTCCTGTGGCTTGGAGGGTTCTCTCTCTTCTCCCAGAGGCTCAGTGGGGAGCTCTGAAGGAGCTGGGTTGTGAAAGGGCTAGACCAGGGGAGATCTTCATGCTGTTTTTCTTTCTAGACACTGGAGCTGTCTAAAGCTCATGGGGATATTGTGCAGGAGGACAAGGTCTCAGGGCTCTATAGTAGGTGAGATGAGGAAGTTGTTTTCCTGGAAAACCTCAGCCCTTCTCTCTCTCCCTTTTATAGGCCCCACCATGAACTGATCTGAAGAAAGGAATTAGCTACAAGGCTTGTTCAAAGGTCAACATTCCGGTAAGAGAGCCCCCCTCTCTCGTGACTTTCCGCCTCTCCCATGTCTTTCTGTTCCTACAAACCTTCAAGTGTCAGACCATCTGGAGAGAACAGTGACCAGCACAGTTGTGATGATGACTCCACCAGGCCCTTGTGCTCCAACACTGGCCATGCTTCTAAAACCTCCTATGGGCTCGTCTCACAGAAGGGAAAAGTCACAAGTACTAGGCCAAGAAGTGAGGTCAGGCTGCAGGACAATAGCCACCAAGCACTCTCTAAACATGTGCCTCTACCTTCCTTGGGCTGGTGTGAGTGAGGCTGGGTGGCTTAGTCAGCAATGCCATGAGCCCTTCGCTCAGGGGTTACAAACTCAATGCTTACAGAGCCAGGAAAGTAAGAGGATGCCACCAGTCAGGTGGCCCTGTAGCAACCAGAGAGGGCTGGCTGGCGTCAAGGAGGTAGCTACCACTTGTCTCTGGAAGGGTGGCACCTCTTCTAATTTCCAAGAGAAGCTAGAAATGCAGATTTTTACATAAAAGCTCCCAAGTTTAAATTGGTGGTAGCTAATTGAAAGTAAAACCTGTTTTGCGGCCAGTCCAAGATGCAACCGTAGGCTGGGTAGGCCTCCCGTCTGTGGCCTGTGTTTTGGTGTAAGAAGCAGGTGGTGACCAATGTGCTCGGAGTTTGTTCTCAGAGCTCTCTGAGGTCCTCTCTAAATGGGGAGATTCACAGGACAAAGGTTTGCCAAACAGGACCAAAATGCAGGGATAGAGCGTAAGGGGTGGGGGAACACATGGAGGTGGTAGGTTAGTCCTGCATCAGAGTTCTGGACTGGCTGCTTCCAGAATTTCTCTGTGGCCCTGGGTCCTGAGCCACCTCTCCCCTTCAGGACAGGGATACCCACCCTCCCCTCTGCAGGCTGCTCTTGCACATGGTGACAGTGGCTGTGGCTCCCAATAGCAGATGCAGGCATGTGCCTGGAACCTCTCAGAATTTGGCTCCAGCCCAGGCAGCAGCGCCTAGCCATCTTCGGGGACAAAGGCGTGCATTACCTCACTGCACCCTGGGGCCCGGGGCTCCGCTTTCCGCTGCTGCTGCCAGTCTGCCTGAGACGCACTAGCCTCAGCCTCGGAGGAGGTGGTCTCGGACACCTGGCTCCAGGTCCTAGGCTCCGGGGGGGCCTCTGGGCTACCGGACACAGGCTGGGATTCCTGCTGAAGAGACCCCATGAACTGAACCCACACACCCAGCCAGAGGGTTTCCGGGGCCCTGGCCCTGCCACCAGGCCCTGCTTCTTCCCCTCCTCATAGGGCCTCCATCTCACAAAAGACCCCTCCCCAAGGGCCCTGAGTGGACAGGTGGGAGGTTCTAGGTAGGTCCAGGCAAATGGCCTACAATTAAACAAAGCCCTTGGCCAGCTTGGCATAACTTTTCCCCTCCCCCGACTTCTTGGAATAGTGCAGCTGGGCCACAATGCCTAGCTCACAAATGCTGGCAACTCCACTTAGAAGAACATGCTGACTTCCCCTGTGAGTTCCCACGGCACCCCCGGCTTGCCTGCGTGACGGCACACACACGTGCATACATGCACACACACACTGCCTCCAGGGAGCTAGAGTCAACAGACTCAAGAGAAGGAAAGGAGAAGGAAAAGGAGGGGCTGTGGAATTCCACTCCTGTACTGGAAATAATTAGAAGCCGTGGTCCTGGCAACGCCAACACTCCCCCGCCCCTCACAGACACTGCTACCGCCCTACAATCTGACTAAAAAGGCCAAGGCTGGCCTCTGGGACCACAGGGAGACAGGAGAACATGAGACCAGACCCAGAGCCTCGTTCAAGTTCCACACATGGGAAGCAGTTGCTCTCCACAGCCAGGCCACACAGTGCAGGCCCAGAGGAAGTAGCCAGGATGGGCCCAACCAACCAGAGAGAACCACTTCTTGCTGTTTGACCTAAAGACCTAAGGAGAAGCCTTTTGAGCCTGCCTTAGGTCAAGAGAAAACTGAGAAGGGGGGCCCTGTCTGCTTTGTCCAGACTCTGGTCCCAAGTGTTAAAAATAACAGGTTGGGAGATAAGATAGTGCTGTCCCTGACACCTCCGTCTTAGGGATGCTTATTTTTAAATCTCAGAATGAGCCCTGGGTATGGGAGGAGGGGAAGGGGCAGTCCAGAGGTCAGAAAACTGCAGTGCTGCCTTACCAAGATATTCCTCCTTGCTAGTCTTGGAGGGGGACCATGGGCAGGGGACCAGAGACCCTCTCCTAGACTCATGAGGAACGCCTAGTAAATCTCTTTCTTGCTTTGCTTCAGTTGCTTCAGTTTCCCTGTCTGTACAACGAGCAGTACCATGACCAGTCAGGGGATGAAAGATGGACAACAGCCCCTCCCCAGGTCCCCTTCTGGACTGGGCTAGGGAGAGATGGTTGAGAGCTGGTCTTAGCACCCTTCTGAGAGGCTGGCTGGATCTCCTAGACTACATAGCTCTGGGCCCAGTAAAAGCAGTTGCCGCATACATGCAGGAGGGCGGGGGGCTCACCTGCTTGCTGGACTCTTCCTCTGTGCCCAGGCTGTTCTCCTCATCCTCCTCTTGGTCATCCGTGTCCGACTCTGCCACGGCGATGGGCACACACACGGGCTCCAGGTCCCCGGGGGTGTCCTGGCCTGGCGGCTTGCCTTCCTCAAAGCGTGTTTCCTTGCGGGCCGGAGGTGCCTTCTCCACCTCTGGAAGGGGTGGGGGGCTGGAGCTGGCGATGCAATTGGGCAGCCGGCCGGGGGCCGCAAGGGCTGCGGGCTTCTGAGGCTGTTGCCGCATCAGCCCACAGCAGAAGTCCCAGGTGGTCCGCTTGACGAAGCGCAGGCCGCGCTGGATGCGGGCCAGGGCCAGCTGGAGGTTGTTCATCTCCCCATCCTCGTCGGGGGCTGTGAGGTTGTCTGCGCTGAAGGAGCTGAGCAGCAAGGCCAGGAAGAGGTTCAGGACCTGTTGAGGCAACGGGGCAGGCTCACCAAGTCACCGCGCCATGCCAGGGCACTCAGCCCTGGTTCCATGGTGGGGAAGCAGAGGCCCAGCGAGCTTTAGGACTGCCTGTGACAAACAGCTCTGAGCCTTGAACCCAGGGCCCTGTGCCCTCATCCTAACCCCTCATTCTCTTGGGTATGGAGGGTTTGACTGTAAAAGAAAAACACAAAGTCAAATCCCTCTTTCCAAGGGCCCAGACACAGTCGGAATGGAGGATGTTCAGACCCAGGTCCTTTGCATCCTGGCTCAGGTTCAATGGGAGAACTATACATTCATGCAATGTCAAAGTGTACAGATGGGTTAAAGGCCCAGGAAGGGGCTTGCCCAAGGTCACACAGGGAGTTGGGGAAGAGCCCATCCAGGCACCAATGGCTTCTACACACAGGTCTTGGGGGTGAGGGGGCTGTGGGACCAGGGCGGGCACAGAGCTCCTCCTAGAGAAGTGTGAGTCCAGGGACAAGGCATGGTCCCACCTAGAGCTCTTGGGGCTTTCCTGGGAAAGAGGAAGGTGTGTCAGGTGGTGAAGGAGGGGCAGGGATGTGCCTCTGTGCTTTCCACTGATGCCGGCTCAGTGCTCAAGGACATGGGTGGCTACAGGGAAGAACACTCTGCCTGCAGTTCAGGCCTGACTCTGCTTTCCAGGTGTGGGACACAGGGATGAGCAGAGAAAGGGGAAAAGCAGGAATAGAGGCCAGGAGGGCATGGGCAGCCCTCAGGCCCTTGGACTAACTGTGTGGTCAGGCCCCAGAGAGACAGCTGTGTCGGTGGTGAGGGATCCTGGGAAGGTGCTGTGTGAAGGTCAAGTCCTGTTACGTTGCAGGGTGTCTGGGGAGGAACCGAGATTTCAGAGGTTCCACAAGATGCAGTACTTTACTGATGTTGTGCATTAGGGCTTAGAGATTAGAGACCCCTTATGGGTGTTTGCAAAACCCCTCAGCTCTGGGATAGTTCCAGACAACTGCTTGTTGTTAAGCCATTTAAGCTTTAGCTTTTGCTTAAAAAGAAAGCTATTGCTGTGTGACACGGGACTGGGCTTGGATTATTTCCCAGTCTCATGAAAGGTCAGTTAAGATGGCGGTGGGCTGATTCCCACACATGGGAAGACAGGCTCATGAACATCACCAGGCCCTCTGGGGCTTGGTGTTTCCTCCTGCTGGGGGTGCATATGGCAGGTTGGTGTGTGAGGGTTGGTGCACAGCTCTCCTTGGAAATCCATCTCTAGCCTCTGAGAGATGACCCTGCCAGGGACCCCAGACCTGCCAGGAAGCTGGGAGTAAGAATTCTGATACAAATGGCTATGGAAACATGCCTTTGGTTGAAAACTAACAAGTTTTCATGTGGGCAGTATGGAAAGTTAAGAAAGCATTTTTTAGGTCATCACTAGGGGGTGGGGCATGTGGTGTGACACAGTCCATCCACCCCCTTCTCCCGGTCCACAATGGCCCAGGCATGGCCCGCCTCCGTTCCTGGTGGCCCATTCTGGATCCTGTCCCCACAGGCCTCATCCACACCTGGCCCTCTATCCCCTGACCTCCAAGAGTCTTGTGCCCAGGCTGGGGGCAGGGCAGAGGCACCTGGGCAGCCACGTCCACCCACACAGGAGTCCAGGGCTTCCCTTGTCCCTGACTTTAGAAGTTTGGCTTCTCCCAGTGCTTCCCCCATCAATCGAGTGGCTGCTGCTCTCCAGCCCTGCCTGATCATCACTTCCCATTTCAATGGCAATCTTGCTTCCACCCACGCCCAGCAGCGGCCCAGTTCTTCAGGCGGCGGAGGAGGGGGCTGCGTGGGCTGGCGTTAGCGTCCCTCCTCCAGCAGCCTCTAATCCTCTTGTCCCCAGGCAGATCCACTAGGAAATCGCAGGGCTCTGTGTACGAGGGGTGGCTCAACCCGGCCCTGGGCTCAGTGCTCGGCGAAATCTCATCTCCTTTGAACAGAGTCTGGCAGCCCCTGAGGCTGGGCCAGGGAATGAGCGAGGCTCCACCCCAAGGGGCAGCCAGTTTGAGGGGACAGAGGGCGAGTTGCGGGGTCAGCCAATGAGCTGGGTTCTAATAGCACTGTGTACTGATATCCTGGTTCCTCTTCGAACTCTGGGCTCTACATTTAGGGCCTGAGGGGAACTGACCCCAAATTGGCCTGGCCTGGCCTGGCCTGGTTAAAGCATGTGGGAGGAGAAAGTAGGCAGATCTGGGGAAAGACGGTGGAACCTATAGCCCGTAGTACTTGCCCCACAGCAGGCTGGGAAATTGGACCTAAACCTCTCTATGAGCTGATGTGACTGTATGCACATGACAGACATACAGCTACAGTGGGAGCTGGACAGCACCGGTATGATGCCCAAGCATGTGTGTGTGCCACCTGTGTACTCAGAAAGGTGACTTCACGTCCACATTAGACACTGATTCTGCTGCTGACTACTGACTCACCTTCACCTTGCCTCTTCCTGAGGATCTTTCTCTGGCATTTAGACTTTGTTCTCTCTCATCTCCAGAATTTGCCACATTGTGAAGACACAAGGCAAGACGCACTTGCCCTAGGACAGACAGGTGGCCACAGGCACAAAGGCAGGTGCCTCTCGTGATGGGACAGCAGGGACTCTCACCACAGCTACTCAGGGTGGCATACAAAACTCCTATGGGGCCCCACCTCACCTGGATCACTACCTGTCTGCACCTGTGCTTCGCTCACCCTGCTCCTTCTTTCTTCAGCATTACCTGTCTATCAGGTTAGCTCCAAACCCTCCTCGAGGAAGCCTTCCTGGATTTCCCTTGCTAGAGGGGAGCAGCACCCACGGGCTTCTGCTCATGGCTCAGAGCCCACTGGCTCTGATCACTCCGACCAGTCTGAGAGTTATTTCAGGCCTGTTTGAACCCCCTGCTTTCCCACTCTCAAGTGGATGAGCAGTGTTAGGGCTGGCACAGGGCCACATTGGCCTCTTTATGCCCAGCAACAGCTGCCACAACATTTCGTAGGCAACAGGGGCCCAGAAAGCACTGGCTAAGTGGAACTGAAAAACCATGTGATAATTCACCATTGGGAGTGACAATAAAATAATGGGGAGATGAGCAAATAAATAAATGAATAAAATGAGTAAATAATAAACCGGTAAATAAGTGGATGGATAAATAAATGAGCAAAACGCAATGACGTAAGAATGGATGGATGGTCAATGAGTGAGTGAGTGTGTAGATAGCCGGATAGACAGATGAAGAGATGGATGAGATTGGTGGGTTGATAGACAGGGGTATGAATGAGTGGAGGGGAGGATGAATAGAGCGGATAGATGGGTGTTGAATGAACACAAGGACAGATGATGGGTAAGTGAATGGGTGGGGGATAGATGAATGGGCAAATGGGTGTGTGTGTGTGTGAGTGTGTGTGTGTGTGTGTGTGTGTGAGACTGGGGTTGACAAATGCATGACTGGACAAATGAATAGACAGGTGATGAATGGATGGACGGATGAGTGAGTGAGTGGAAGGGGGCTGATGGATGGATAACTGGGGAATAAGTGGATAAATGAATGGGAAGACTGAGAATTATCTCCCAATCCTCCAGATCGATGGGGAGGTAGATAGATGGACGGGTGGACCGGTTGGTGGGTGGGTAACTGATGAGATGAAAAATGACTAGACAAATGTATGAAGAGTAGGTGGACAAAAGAATGAGTGCTCAGTGAATAGACAGACTGTTAATATATGCATAGATAAATCAGTAAGTGGGCATATAGGTGGGTAAACAAATGGGTGAGGAGATAGATGGGTAAAAGAGTAGGAGGATGGATGGATGGTAGATAGTTGGAGGAAAGATAAAAGGATGGGTGGATGGTTTGTGGATTGATGCCTGGGTGAGCGAGTGGATGGAAGGAAGGGTAAGTGAATTGATAGGTAGGTGACTGGGTGGGTGGGCAGCTGGGTGGATGAGCAGACAGGTGGGTGAGCGTGTGTGTGTGTGTGTGTGTGTGTGTGTGCACGCGCACGCGTGTGTGTGTGAGGCCCTTGGCTGACTCACCACAAGGTTGCCAATGACCATAACCAGCAAGAAGACCAGCAGGCACAACGACTGCCCAGACGCCTCCATGCAGTTCCACATGGTCTCAATCCACTCGCCACAGAGGATGCGGAAGATGATGAGGAAGGCATGGAAGAAGTCCATCATGTGCCAGCGAGGCAGTGGGTCTGAGTCGTTGATGCGGAGCCTCAGCTCCGAGTAGCTCTTGCCAAAGAGTTGCATGCCCACCACGGCAAAGATGAACACGATGATGGCTAGCACCAGCGTCAGGTTCCCCAGTGCCCCCACGGAGTTCCCGATGATCTTGATGAGTGTGTTCAGGGTGGGCCACGACTTGGCCAGCTTGAAGACCCGCAGCTGGGGAAGGAGGAGGAGGACCTTGTGAGGGGTTCTGGCTCCTGCTGCCCATGGACAACCCTACCAACTCCTGCCTGAAAGCCTGGGGGGCCCTTGGTGGCTTCACTGGGCACAGCTCCAGCCTCATCTCCCCAACTCAGCCTTTCTCTTTGTCCTCACACCAGCCTCCTACCTGCCTCAGTCTCACTTCCAAGAGCTGTCTAGTAGATTCTCCCAATGTGGAATGTCCCTCCTCTTTCAGAACTATCCTTCGGACTTGCTCAAACCATCTCTGACTTGTCCAGTGCTTCCATCTTTCTCTTCTCTCAGTTACAAGAGAGAAAGGAAGCAGGTGCTTAACACTTATTGGATGCCTAGTAGGTGCCAGGCTTTATGCTTAGGATGGATGAACTCATTCAGAACTCCCGAACACATGAGGTTAGCGCTAGTAATACCTCATTTGACAGATAAAGAAACCACCCGTTAAAGGTGGAGTAACTTGCCCAAGTCCCTTGGCTCACAGCAGTGGAGTCAGTATTAGAACCCAGGGCCTTGGCTTTCCTCACTGTCCCTATCATCCTGCTTCCCATCTCCCCACCCCAGCAAGTTGTGTGTGGAGCTACCACAGTGCTCAGGACCTCCTCCAGGAAGCCTTCCCTGACCACACCTCCAGCCCCATGTCTGTAGCTCTCAGACATTTTGAGCTTCAAGTGTGCTCCACAGCCCAGCAGATTTGACATCATCTGAGACCTACTGAATCAGCAGCTGCATTTCAACAGGATCCCCAGGTGATCTGTGTGTGCAATAAAGTTTTAAAAATGCTGATTCAGAAACCAGCAGGCAGAGCCTCAGATGCTCGGATGCATCTCCACAGACCTGGCTCCACCTGCTACTTGCCATGTGGCTAAGGGAAATTCATTTGACCTCTGAGTCTTAGTCTCCTCATCTGTGAAATGGGGATGTAGTAACACCAGCCCCACTCCTGGATCCTGTGAGGACTAGAAAGGTCATTGTGGACCATTAGGGGTCTTGCAAATTATCAGAACCACAATAGTTGCTCTGGTGGGATGCCTCCTTCTGTCTTGCCCACCTCCGTATCCCCCACGCCATCAGTACCAGGCTGGGCACCTGGGGCAAATGGCTGTTGGTGAAGGCATGACAAACTGAAGCAGGGATGACCGAGTGGTGTCCTTGGAGGGGGGTGTGCCCAGCCCCCACCCTGCCCCACCCTCCTGCAGCGGGTCCAGCCAGGTACCAGGCGGAAGGAGCGCAGCACCGACAGGTTGCCCATGCGGGACAGGCCCAGTTCTAGGAGGCTAAGGATGACGATGATGCTGTCGAAGATATTCCAGCCCTGCTGGAAGTAGTAGTAGGGGTCGAGGGCAACGATCTTGAAGGTCATCTCGGCTGTGAAAATCCCTGTGAAGACCTGAGGAGGGAGCAGAAATCACCTGAACTGGAAAGACCTTCTGACAGCCAGGGCACTCTGCCTCCTGCCTCTTGCTCTGGCAGGGTCTTCCTCCTGGGCCGCCAGCAATAACTGTGCCCAGGCTCCCAATGGAGGCTTGCTTGGCCATGGTCCAGCCCCTTGGAGAAATCGCTATTCTCCAGCCTCATGCCCCCAGCCTTCTCGGCTACTCTCCAAACAAGCATGACACCAGTCTGGTCTTTAGGAACAGCCTGGGCCCATCATGGGCTCTAACAACTCACAGCTCTAGGAGACACCTGTGGCAGGGGAAGCTGAGGTGGGCGGCGACATGACCCAGCGCCAGACTCCTTCCCGCCTGTGTCTCCACAGGAAGTGACTTTACCCCACACATGCCAAATCCATACGTTCCCACAGACACTCATGGCTCTTCTGACTCAGGGTCTTTGCCCATGCTGTTCCTGCTGCCAGGAATGTCCACCCTTCTTGTCCACATGCTGAATTCTTCTCACCGTAATAATTACTGGCCACTATTTCTCAAGGGCTGACTGTGTGTTAAATGCTGGTCTAGAATGTGTTTTCTGTGTTGTTTCTTTTGATCCGTCCAACAACCCCATGAAGAAAATATCGCTGTCTGCATTTGACAGTTAAGGAAACTGAGGTACTGAACGACTAAGTAACTTATCTGGGGGCCACATAGCTATTGAGTTTGAGAACAAGATGAAACCAGTGCTGTACTTTAAAATTCAGGGCAACCTCTTCTCCCTTCTGGAAACATTCCTGAGTGAACAGGGGCTGAGCTTTACCTGGTTCATTGACTCATGAGTTCTGAGCTGCCTAGCCTTGGCCAGCAGAGCCCTGTGGTCAAGGAGCCCACAGTGACCACAGCCAGTTGCCCTGTGGTGTGCCAGTTGCTGTGATGGGAGCATATTTCCTAGAGGAGAGGCTGTCCTGTGAGGGCTTGGCTGGCGGGAAGCTGGATGCATGTACACAGGGCCTCTTGGCCATGCTGAGAAGGTGGGCGCTGTTCTGAGGGAAGTGAGGATGCATTCAGGGTCTTTTGGAGGGACAGGCAGAGGTCAGAGGCCTGGGTACCCCTGATAATAGTGCCAGGCCTGCAGCAGGTGTGAGGATGCAGAGGTCTAGGACAGGAGCCAAGACACCTCTCTGGGGTCGGCAATCGGAAGGGAGGTCCCGCTGGCCTGGACACCCACCCTGAGGGGCCTCTGTGCTAGAAGGGGAGAGAGGCAGCTGCCGGTTGCCTGAGCATACCAGCTTTTCCCCCTCTGCTCAGAAGAGACCCTGTGGAGATGGGCTGGGGGAATGGGGGGTGTTGAAGGCACCAGGATAACAGGCGGGCAGGCTCCTCAGCATTGGCACACAGGGTACCACCCACCAGCCCAGCCTGGTGACTTTGGTTGTCCCTTTAGTGCCTGTGCCCAGAGTGAACTTCTCCTCCACCAGCACGGGGAAGGAAGGGACTCCCAAATCCTCCAGCCTCAGTTTACATTCCTGAGCTGCCCTCACATGTGGAGAGGCTGCTTTGGGTTCTGTCCCTTTCCACAGCACCCAGGCCATTTCCATCACGTTTTCATCCCTCTGGTTCCATCTCCCACTGCTCTCCTATTCCAGCCATGCTGCCTCCTGATTGCTCCCTCCACAGGGCCTCTGCACTTGCTGTTCCCCTTCCCTGGGCCATGCCTCTCCCAGTCCACATGGCTCATGCCCATCAAGTCTCTGCTTAAAAGCCCCCTAAGCCAGGCTCTGTGGCTCAGCCTGTAATCCTGCGCTTTGGGTGGCTGAGGTGAGTGGATTGCCTGAGCCTGCGAGTTCGAGACTCGCCTGGGCAGCGAGACCTCATCTCTACAATAAATCAAAAAATGAACCGGGCGTGGTAGCGCGCACCTGTAATTCCAGCTACTTGGGAGGCCGAGGCAGAAGGATCACCGGAGCCCAGCAGGTTGAGGCTGCGGTGGCCGGGAGCGGCCACTGCACTCCAGTCTGGGCAACAGAGTAAGACTCCAACTCAAAAAAAATAAAAAATAAAAAAAAAAAAGCCCCCTAATCCATGGGGCTTCTGGAGACTCAAAATTGTGTTCTCCTCCCACCATATTCCTTATCCCTGCCCGTGCTTTCTCTTTCTCTTCCTTACACATCACTACCTGACAGCTTTGTGTTTGTTGATTGAGTCTCCTCTGTTTAGAAGGTAAGCTCCATGACCCATGACAAGAGGGACTTTCCTGTGTTACCGCGCCTAGAACAGTGCCCAGCCCCTAGGTGGTCCACCAGTATCCACTGAACAGATGTACAAATGGTTGGACCTCTGACCCTTCTTGCACCATATCCTCTCTCAGACACACACAGCTGTGCTCAGAGCTCTCACTCAGCCCTCTTTCGGTACAGGGCTTCCCTGAGAACCACTAAGAGTGGGGTCCAGGTTTCACCTTCCCTGGACCCCTGACCTTGGTCTTTCCCAGCATGGCCCATGAACACCAAGGTGCCTGTTGGCAGACAAATGCTGATGCTCATTTCTGGAGAATGAGCTCCAGGAAGGCCTCACACCTCAGTTTGCCCACTTTCCCAGCTATTTGAGCAGTATAGCAGATAGCAGGTGGAGCTAGAATCAAGAAGAAAAAAGACAGAAGAGGCTCCTGGGGAATGCCTTAGGGGCAGTGAGAAAAGGTTCTTGGGGATCAACAGGCATCACGTGGAAGCTCTTTAGAAACACAGAGTTTTGGAAGATCCCAGACCTGCTGAATTAGAATCTGCATCTTGCCCAGATCTCAAGAATTTGAAGTTGAGAAGTGCTGTTTTCAAGCACAAGTAATCAAACTTGATGCACTCTGGAATGACCTAGGGAGTTTCTTTTTTTTTTTGAACTGAGTCTCACACTGTTGCCCTGGCTGGAGTGCAGTGGCATGCTCACGGCCACCCCAGCGTTGACCTGCTGGGC